CTCAATATTTTCCTTGTTTTTCCAGTCAGTGCTGCTGTTTCAAAGTTTTTTTTTTCAGTTTCTTAATATAGAAGTCTTGCACATTTATAAAAATGAATATGATAGATACTGTTGTTTTATAAGAAAATAATAGCAAATACATTTTTGGAGGACAAATATATGGAGGGACTTATATATCTCATTTTCCATGTAAGATGAGAAAAGTGCTTGGTTCACAAGACAGAGAAAGTTGATATGACAGTTTTCAAAAATCTAATCTACCTAAATGAAAGAAAGCATATGAGCCATTTATTATTGATTGTGAGAAAAAAACTTCAGCCTTATGCCTTCATTTGTTGATACATTAATCCAGGCATGGTACTTTGACAGCAATTTATTCAGAGATCCTGAAAGATGTTTGAATTCCTCAAAATATATTGATATTTTCAATGCCTTTGTATCTCATCTGTCTTTTCCTTTCTTACATTGATTTTTGCTTTTATGATCATAGGATCATTTGTAGTAGATGCATAATCTATTTTAAAACATTTTAATAAAGCTATTAACCTGGACCACATTCAGTGATGTTTTCTGAAAATATATTATCAAAGAACATAGCTGTCTTATGCTTTCATATTTCATTCTTTTAACATTCTTGTATCTTAACTGATAAAACAACACCATTGAGTTTAGTCCATAAGTTTAGTGACCGAAAAGCAAAATAATTTTTGGTTTAGCCTTCTTAATTATACATTTATGAGATAGCATATATTCATTGGAGCATTTACTTTCACATCTAAGGACAAAGCATAAATATTAGAATTACTACAGTGAAGAGATTTAAGTTTAATATTTATGCAATCCTTGTGCAAAGTAATGTTTTTCAAACCCATGGTTTCCTTTGTATTATCTGTTCCCTCTGCAAGAGAGTAGAACAGAACAGAATAGAATAGAAAAGTTCAACTGGACAAGTGACCTACAAATATCCTCTAGTCCAGCTGACTGACCACTTCAAGGCTGACCAAAAGGTAAAAGCAAGTTATTAAAGGTGTTGTTCAAATACCTCTTAAGCATTGACATGCCAGGGGCATGAACAACCTCTCTAGGTGTCAGTAAATGCTTCCTAATGTGAATTCTACTGTTTTCTATGAACCTAGGAGCTTTGTGTATTGCTATGCTAAATTATCACACTTTTAGTCTTATTCCTCCTCCCTAAAACTAATTCAGTTATTTTGTGGTGAGGTCACTTTGTATCTTTTTGCATTGTATTCTACTTTCTTTTTAACTCTTCCATCTTTTTTATGCCCCAGCATTTTTTCTCTTTTATTATATGGATATATGGATATCTTATGGTAGCAGATACTAAGGAAGTTGGGCAGAATGAAAAATGACGCATACTGTCATCTGAAATGTGCCAGAGATTTTCAATACACAATAGAAAGCTTAAAACTACAGATCTTGCTAATGGATGCTAATGCTTTAATAATGTCAAATGTATTTCATCATTTTTTTGCCTGGCATGTCACTGAACATTAGTGTGACAAAAACCATCACAAGTTTTCTCACTCATGACGAACCCATGGAGGACACCTCATAGTCTTGGTAATTTGGAAAGCTAGCTTTAATTAAATGAAAAATATTTTTAAAAAATCCTTTAATATCTTTAGCTATAACTTGTGGAATTTGTATTAGAACATAAAAGAATGAAATTCCCAGTCTCCCACTGCAATACATATTCTCCTCAACTTAGATGAGAGTTAGTTCTTTAGTTTAATAATGGAATCAAACTTTCAGATACAAGAAATTTCACTGACTTCCTTGTGGCCTACTAAAACTCAAGATGTGAGTGGAATTTAAATACCTAGAATTTAAACCCTTTGGAATTCCTAATAACTTTTGCATTTTTACAATTTTAATGTAATTTACATTAAATTTACAAATTAATTTACAAATTTAATTTTATCTGCCTGGAGAGCAAGCAATAACTGGGAAAAAAAAGCCAAACATTAAGTTCAAATTCAAAACCAAAGGTTCTGGATTGACCACTTTTTTTCAGGAGTAAAATTTCGGGTCTCTAAAATAGGAATTTCTGGAAAAGTCAGCATCTGACTTCGTAGTCAGTAGATCTGCTGTGGTCAAAAATTCAAAATCAAAAGTTGCAAGCTATTAGAAAAGAAAAAGTAAAAGATAACAAAACAAAGCACATCATTTTGCCACCGCCAAAGTTCATGGTTAATAATGTGGGCAGTTCTGATCCCTTCACAAAAAGAATACAACAAAACTTTTCAGAAAAAGCCAGCAAAGGTGATAGAAGATATAAATCTTCTTTCATATAACTAATGACTGACAAACCTGAGGCTTCTCAGTCTAGAAAATACTTGACTAAAAGAAAATACAACAGAAGTCTAGAATATTCTAAGAAACTTAGTATTTTCTCTTTCAACAGAAGAATTTTCTCTTTCAACAGAAAGGGATGCATTTTCTCTTTCAACAGAAGAATTAGGGGATACTGAAAAAAGAAATGTATGAAACAAAGTAAGTGAAAGCAAACAAAGCAACAAGAGCCAGGTTTGAAACAAATGGAGGGAGGTAAACCTTCATATGCAGTGAGTAATGGGCTGGGTGCATTGTAGATGCAACAGATTTACATGAGTCAAAAGGAAGATTGAACTACTTAATGGAAGATAAGGTCCCTAAGAATTATCAGTTGCACAGAAAAGACATCCACCTCAGAATGTGCCTGATCTGAAAGTCGGACATTGGGTGAATGTTAAGGGGAATTACCATATGTTTGAACATAATTTTATGGTTTGCTGCCTAGACATTGACATATGGCCACAGTTGGATACATCTTTTATCTAGGCTAGATGAGCCTCTCTATTCACTTCTCTTAACATATTTGCTTAAGCATATCTATTAAGCAATTTAAGCATATCTATAATCTGTTAGGTCGTCAACCTTGAAAAAGAGTTCTGGGTCACCAATTGAGATACTGGAGCCTGTATTGCCTTTCTTTGAACTTGAGTAAACTCATCACATCACAGACACTTAAAATCAGAAGCAAGACACAACTGTCTACGTTTGCAAACTATTAATATTTTAGATGTCAGAGAAAAAATCTACAAAAGGCTGACATATTGACAAAGGACATTACGTTCCTCAGCAGCCATTGAAGCCCAGATGAAATAGCTGAGAGTTCTCACAAGCAATTAACTTCCTGTGTTTAGGCAACTGCAATACAGTTTGCATATGTTTGAATACAAGTGTCTGGGAGGAGATACATCCTCAAACTTCTGGAACTAAATTCTCCTGCTTCCTGACCTTCAGCTGCTTCTCTGAAAATTATTTGGTGTCCTAGTCAGATGTTCTATGAGATCTAAAAATTTACCACACTGTACAGATATACTGTCACATGGAGTTAAAACCTGCTCTGATTTGATGGTCAGTGGAATATAGGGATCAGCATGTAGATGTAATACTCAACTGCCTAAATATAAATATTGAGAGTTTGATTGAATTTGGATGCCTTAGTGGATCTATTTCCATGGGTCTTGCAGATATGGCCAAAAATCTTCATAAGCACTGCACTCCTCTGGCCTGACATTAGTGAGATCAAAGATTCATTCAGATAGAACTAGATCTCAGGAGGTCTGTAGTACAACCTCCTGCTCAAAGATAGGTTGTGGTGGTTTTAATCTAGGCCTTCCCTGGTTACCAGTTTGTAACCAAGGAAGGGGCAGTGTTCCCAGTATTCCATATGATTTTTACGTAAATCAAGGTATAAATAAGAAGGGAGGAGAGGCCTTCGTTCTCTTCTTTTCCCCCGAAGTTCAGGAACAGTGGGTCCCTGCGTTGGTCTCGCTTATCTAAGGTTGAGTCCTGCAGCATCCACTGGCCTGCCACATGGAAGCTTGGAGAGTGCTGGCCGTGTCTGCCAATCCTGCTTTCTAAGGGACGTGGTGAGATTTGTTTTACTAGTTATTTTACTAGTTCTCAGGTTTGATTGTGCATATCTATCGGTGTCCCTTTTTGTTTCCTTTTGTCCCTTTTTCCCCTTTCCCTATCCCTTCAGGGGGTGTTTGGATTCCCTTTTGCTGTGTACATAGCATCTTAACTGTAATATACATAAAATATATTTTTAATATAACTAGCTTGATTTTGGGTTCTTCAGTTTGGCATAGTTTTTTTCCTTTGCCGTGGGGGCAGTAGGAAGGGGGAAGAGAGGGGCTGCTACTGGGGGGTTGGGCATTTGGCAGGGAGCCAAATCCAAACCATCACATAGGTCAACTGTGAGGTTAGCCCAGGTTGCTTAGATCAGTGGGATCTTGAAAACTTATGGGGTGATCTATAACATCTCAAAAGCTGGTCGATTTGTACATGCAGACAGATGAATCCAACACTTAACATTTACAAATTACAACCTTCTTTGGAAATGTAATGTAATAGTTTTTCAGCTGCATACACTGAGCATCTGTTATGGTAACTATTGATTACATTTTTAAGCCAATTGTAAAAATAGTTACATTATCTGCCTTGTTAGTCCTTTATTTTGCTAATTGTATGGCAAAACAGATTCAAAACTTGCACAAACAAGTTCTTTTACTGGGTTGTTGTTGATGTTTTGTTTTGTCGTTTTTGGGGGCAGTTGTTTTGGTTTGGTTTTAGAAATAAAGGATGTTCCTGCAAAGAGATGCTTTCTGGGTCCTTTCAGTGTTACTTTGGAAACCATTAAAAAAAGTCAACCTACAAGACACGTTTAGTTATCTTCAATGCCTCCAGTAAGAGATTAGTAAGATTTTAGTCTTAAGGGTTGGTGAAACAGTGATCTTAAAGTCTTTTAAAAATCAATTAACTGTCCCTACTTTTCTGCCCCTGCTGCAAAAAAAACCCCAACCCTGCAAAACCATGTATTCTAAGATGAAGTGATATACTTACGACATCCATTCTATCTTCTCTCATTGCATGGTATTGCTTTTCTAGGAATTTCTAGTATTTTTGATTCACCTTCATGTCATTCACAGATATTGGCTGACCTGGAAAACCATGTGCTTTTTAAAGATGACCTAGAATGTCAGAAGCTTATTCTGGAAGCCATGAAATATCATCTTTTGCCAGAGAGAAGAACTCTCATGCAAAGTCCAAGAACTAAGCCTAGAAAATCTACAGTTGGGACACTTTATGCTGTTGGAGGAATGGATAACAACAAAGGTATTAAAGGATATTTGTTGCTTTATAAAAGTTGTACTTTGAATTTTCTTTATTGGAAAATGGTGAAATAACTTTCTATTCCAAGATTGGTGTGGGGATGTCTAAATTGGTCAAGAAATGCTGCCAAGACTTTTGTTCTAATAAAAATCTACGGATATTTAAGGAAAAGCATAATACTGTTAGAGAAAAGAAAATGAGATTCTAATTCATTCTTTGTGCAAAATTATTATAATTTTCAGAAAAAAAATTAATGTAAAAAACCTGGAATGAAGTTAATTTACCTTAGTTTTAGATTTCTAGAAATTATGTTTCCTCTATAAGTAAGTCAAATACTTCTTTCACTCTTTTTTAACCAATGAACAAAGGCAGTTTGATATGCAGTGTATTCTATCCTTAAATAGTTGTCTGAAATATTATGGATGATTCATGGTCTTCTAATGAAGAAATGTGTCAGTCATTTAGAAAAAAAACCCTAGATAACTAGTTTAAACTAGATTACTACTTTGTCAACAGATAATTGAAGATGAAATTATCCCCATTTTTCTATGAAGAAAACTAGAAGGCAGTGAAATTTTAATTAAAGTACTATATATTTTATTTGTTGGGATTTAAAATTACAATTACGTACCTTCGTTTCTGGTAAGAAGTCCAATATACTGATTTCTTGAATGGAATGAAATAAAATATTTGAACTAAAAGTTAGCTGTGTTATAAGCCTACATACTCACAAAAGGTTTTTATTATTTTTTTGGTGATATTCACCGACAACTCCACAGTATCTTAAATTTTAATGTCCCTATTTAGACTAAAGATCATGCCTTCAGAAACACTAGTTCTGATATAAAATAAACTGCACTTAAAAAATGTATTACATTATATCCTCAGGATTTTACAACTTTGTGTCTAGGGTATAGTTTTTGCAGTTGTTTCCCTAAATAGCTGTGGCAACATCATCTTCAAAATCATATGGCATGCTTTTCCCATAAAGTTACACCAATGAGAAGGATGCATGACATTTGTGCATGTGGGAAAAATAAATGGGCAGCAACAAGAGAAGTGTGACAAGCAAGTCAAGGAAGATTCGTGCTAATGGTTTCGCTTACATATCAGGAAAAGGTTTTTCACAGATGGTGGTTGGGCACTGGAACAGGCTCCCTAGAGAAGTGGTCACAGCACCAAGCGTGCCACAGTTCAAGAAGCATTTGGACAGTGCTCTCTGGCACCTGGTGTGACTCCTGGGGGTGGTCCTGCACAGGGCCGGGAGTTGAACTTGGTGATCCTGATGGGTCCCTTCCAACTCAGCATATTCTTCCAACTCTGTAATTCTGTGGGTTTTTTAAGTCCCTTTGAACCCAAATTGTTCAATGATTCTATGATAATAAGAAAATGTTGATGAAAGAATCAATATACATATATTCTTATTGTAACTGCAGACTATTTTTGTCAATTTAGCATATATAAACATATAACATATATAGCTAAATGTGAGGCATGGATATGGACAGAGCATTGTCTTTGGATCATAAAATACCTAAAATACAAATGTCCTCTTACTCAGAACAAATTATTTTGAACACAAGTATTCATTGTGGGTAGAAAATAAACCCAATTTGGGTGCAGCAGTATTTGTTCTCATTTACTATAAATATATGTTCCTCAATCGAAATGTAGAAATATTCAGGAAGAGTGCACAGAGTTTGGCACCACTGCAGCACGGACACACAGCCTATTTTGCAGTTTCAGATCAGGCAGAAGCTGTTTTTTTCTGTAGCAGCAGAAGAGGACACAGAGCAACAGAACTTCAACCCTCTGTTGGTGAAAACTCTGACTGAAGATAACCAGGACTTTTATACATTTACAACAGACAAAAACTGCTCTGAGAGGGGACCTGTTATGGTAGAGCAGCATCTGCACAATAGGAGCCTTTGTTACAGCTGATGTAATATGTATTCCCAGTAACTCAAGTTCTGCAGCTGTGCAGTCTCAGCTTGCATCTGTTCAAATCATCCCTCTTGTGACCCTTGAGTGGCTTTTATGCCCAGTGAGTCTTATTTCCACATGTCAGTTCAGGAGACTCGAGTGCTGTTTGCTTGTTTGGAAGAGTCACTGAATTCATAAAGCAAGCCTGAGTATTTGGGCTGTGAGATGATGCTGATACTGTATTACCTCTCCTCAATAATTAGTAATTTATTTTTCCCTCACAACATTCTTCACTGAAATGCTGACTAGGATGGTTGCAACTCACAATGATATATTTTTAATGCTTCCTGGTGTTTGCTACCAAATATGAAAGAGTTATGTATAAGATCTGGATGAGCTAAACAAATTAGCAATTTATTAACTAACATATAAAATAGTGGGTAAGTACAAATATTATGAAAGTATTTGAAGATTATGTGGCTCATCACATAAAAAGCAGCCTAGCATGCTAAGTTTGTTTTGAAATCTCATCTATAGTTCTCTTCCTTTCCATAAAAAAAGAAGTGATAATTAAACTCCAGGAAATAGCAACTGGAATTTTGCCTAATGTGAAAAGTTAATGCATCATAGTACTAAATGGATAGAATTGAAAGGATCAAAGTTGGATAATTTTGTAATTTTAATTTTATAATTGTACAAAACCTCTGTTTCTACAGACCTTTGGTTATTTAAAAATTTAATTTCAGAGGTGCATGTAAGAAACACTCTTTCCCTATATGTTTGCATTAATGAAATGAGATGTATTAATAGATTGGGAATATATGCTTCTGACAATGTTCCATTCACTTTATCTATTAATATTGTCACACTCTAATTTGGATTCTAATTTGGATTCTCTAATTTGGATTAGTTCTGTATTTGGATAATACACAAACAACAAGGATTTAATCATCTAATAGTATGCAAAAGCTGTCTAAATCCACATTTAAAGGAGGACGATAGACCAAAATAAACGAGTAATTGTAAGAAGTGGACAAATATCAATTTTAAAGAGTAATTAAACACTGACTTCCTGTAGCCATCCTGGAATCCTAAATGCAGAGAAAAAGCCATGTGATAGAACATGATGTATATGGTCTATGTTAGATGGTGCTATGGAAAATTATGAGCAGGAAAATATACTTGTATTTTTCTTGAAGGAAAATATAGCAAGAGGAGATTGGTATCAATAATCAAGCTGTCTTATACTGATGTCAGAATACTGATTGATGTCTTCTGAGGTGTCCTAACCTAACTGTCTCACTAGCTAGCAGTGAGAATAATAAGGGAGAAGTTGGAATAATAAGGGACAAATGTCTTTCTTGTTTCTAGAAAGACATTTCTCACAGTAGACTTCGCTTAAACCTTATTTATTTTACTTTTATATTTTTCATTCTCACATAGGCATTTTTTTAGATACTGAAAGAAATGTTGGAAAACCTATTGTAAATACTGTAAAGAAATGCAAAAATAGGGAATGACCATGTTTTTCCTCTTAGTAATTCTTGCTATTTGAGATATGTGTCTAAGATATCTGTAACTTGAAAAGCTTTCTGCCTCCTTCCTCTTCAGTTTAGTGAAAATTTGTAAAAACAAAAAAAAAGAAAGTGAAATCCATCAAGATTGTTCTATGGCATTTTACAATTGGTGGAAATTATTATAAACCACTTTGTCTTCACATACATAAAACATTTGATGGTATTCATTATCTATCCATTTGATGCACGTAACTATCTTGGGTAAGCATCTTATCTTCATCTTACTTGCATTTTCATTCAAGATATGCAATGTATGATAAATTAGTTTAATTTTCAGACTGTGAGTGCTTATAGTTCTGTATTTGGATCATACACAAACAACAAGACCTACTAAGGTAGAGTATTTTCCTTTAAAAAAAATAATTCCAATGTGTTTATTACTTTCTATTTCTCGACGATACTTTTGGAAAGGTTTTATATAAATATGCATACTTTGTAAGTTTATATATATGTATATACTTATATATATATAACTATATAACTATACATACTTTGTAAGTATATATATATATGTATGTATGTATATATTTATAAAATCATACATATAAATTATTGAGGTTTTAAAAGTTTGAGGGTGTAGCATAGTTAAATACCTCAACCTTTCTGTTGTACTTCAATCTTATCCTGACTCCAGCATGCAAATGAATTAATGGCTGGGACTTCCTGCATTTAATGATAGATAGTGCTCATAATATATTGCTGCTAATATTTCATTATTATTACAATTAAGAACTTGGTATATTTTCTTATTCCTGTTCTGATATTAGAATGCAAGAAATAGTCTAATGCTTACAAACTTCTCAGGAACTTTAGAACAGCTCCTGAATCCAGCTGCCCTGACCCAGGACCCTCCTGTCCAGTTGCTGGAGCTCCTTGGAAACCAGGATCTCTGTTCCATCTGAAGAATATTTCTGCTATTTTTCCATTGGCAGGTTCAATCAGTAATTAGGAAAAATTTCTTCACTGAAAGAGTTGTCAAACATTGGAACAGGCTGCCCAGGTGTCATGGTTTTGACCCTGTGTCGTGGATTTTAAACAGTTACCAAAAACTGTTTTTCCCCTCCTCCCCCCTCTGCTCTTCTCGGAGGAGAGGGGGAAAAAAATAGTTACAGAATTCCTGAGTAGAGATATAAACTGTGAGACTCATTTATTATTAATTTTCACAGGCAAACAGTCTCAAAGTGAATAGAGCTTAAATTTATTGTTAACAAAGTTAAACTAAAAGCTAAATTTATTGCTAACAAAATAGGATCATCATCATCATCATCATCATGGAACTAAAGAGTAAAAGAACAAAACAGTCTTAAAACACACCTTCTCTCTACTCCCCCTGGGAAAGGTGGGGGAAAGTCGCAGCCAGCATCTGCTTCTGCTGCTGTTAAAATCTATCTCTTAGATAGGAACTTTTCCCAATTCCCTGTCCTGGGGGGCCACTTTTCCATCAGGCAGAGGTTTCTCTCTCTGCACTCTGATGGTCTCCATGGGCTGCAAGGGGACAACTTG